GCCTGGGTTCGTATCCTGGCCGGGAAGGATTGACTAGGCGCCAATTCTTTACTGTAGCCTCAGTTCACCTAGCAGTGAATGGGTACCTGGTTGTTAAACGATTAGGCAGGTCGTATTCCGGGGAAAATTAGGATTAAGGACCTGCCCGAAACGCTATGCGTACTAGTGGCTTTACAAGAATGTAAGAACTCTTGTATACTGCATATAAATAAAAAATTATAATAACAACTCTAAATCACAACATTATAAATGCTTCACCCATGTATTACAAATAATCACAAATGTACTACAAATATATTGAACACAGACCTAAGACACACCAGCTTACTGGTACTCGTTACCTGGTGGAGCCATTTAATACCACCAAATGGTATTAAATGTGCTAAACAAAGTAATTATTTGGCACATAATTAAACCTTCAAAAATAACAATTATATACACTGCACATCCCCTTAATATACACCGTAATTTGGTTTTATTTAAATGCGTAGAAAATATTAGCGAAAAAATGCTGACATCTAATTTCGCTAATTTAGTAAAGTAAGCCCATTGGGAGAGTTAGCGGAAATTAGCGAGGCAGGGCAATATGTGGCTGGAGGCAGGCAGGACTCTCCTGGGTGTGCCTTCCCTCTCCTAAACCAGTCACTACACTCATAATTCACACCTGTTTGACTCATAACTCACACCTCATGTTTGCTGCCCCACAGTATCGTCCTCTCATTTACTCACACTGCCTCCTCCAGCCACTAAACATAATATGAAATTCTCTGTTATTTACGTCGTCGGCAATGTGAGTTTACCTCAGTTTACCTCAGTATCTATTCCCTCTTTTTTCCGTTTTTTATATATCGGTATCATTTCCGTCATGTTCTGTTTCGTAGTTCTATGTAATGATAAAAGTTTACAACATGTTTGATTTCATTAATAAGGTTCCTGAAAGATAATTTTAGCTACAGTTTTTGTTCGCTTAATGGCTGTAACAGCTGAGAGAGGTGAAGATTATTGTGTGCAACAGCTGAGGGAGAGACATTATTGTGTGCAACAGCTGAGGGAGAGAGACATTATTGTGTGCAACAGCTGAGGGAGAGAGACATTATTGTGTGCAACAGCTGAGGGAGAGACATTATTGTGTGTGCAACAGCTGAGGGAGAGAGAGACATTATTGTGTGCAACAGCTGAGGGAGAGACATTATTGTGTGTGCAACAGCTGAGGGAGAGAGAGACATTATTGTGTGCAACAGCTGAGGGAAAGAGAGACATTATTGTGTGCAACAGCTGAGGGAGAGAGAGACATTATTGTGTGTGCAACAGCTGAGGGAGAGACATTATTGTGTGCAACAGCTGAGGGAGAGAGACATTATTGTGTGCAACAGCTGAGGGAGAGACATTATTGTGTGTGCAACAGCTGAGGGAGAGAGAGACATTATTGTGTGCAACAGCTGAGGGAGAGAGACATTATTGTGTGCAACAGCTGAGGGAGAGAGAGACATTATTGTGTGCAACAGCTGAGGGAGAGAGAGACATTATTGTGTGCAACAGCTGAGGGAGAGAGAGACATTATTGTGTGCAACAGCTGAGGGAGAGAGAGACATTATTGTGTGCAACAGCTGAGGGAGAGAGAGACATTATTGTGTGTGCAACAGCTGAGGGAGAGAGAGACATTATTGTGTGCAACAGCTGAGGGAGAGAGAGACATTATTGTGTGCAACAGCTGAGGGAGAGAGAGACATAATTGTGTGCAACAGCTGAGGGAGAGAGAGACATTATTGTGTGCAACAGCTAAGGAAGAGAGAGACATTATTGTGTGCAACAGCTGAGGGAGAGAGAGACATTATTGTGTGTGCAACAGCTGAGGGAGAGAGAGACATTATTGTGTGCAACAGCTGAGGGAGAGAGAGACATTATTGTGTGTGCAACAGCTGAGGGAGAGAGAGACATTATTGTGTGCAACAGCTGAGGGAGAGAGACATTATTGTGTGCAACAGCTGAGGGAGAGAGAGACATTATTGTGTGCAACAACTGAGGGAGAGACATTATTGTGTGCAACAGCTGAGGGAGAGAGACATTATTGTGTGCAACAGCTGAGGGAGAGAGACATTATTGTGTGCAACAGCTGAGGGAGAGACATTATTGTGTGCAACAGCTGAGGGAGAGAGACATTATTGTGTGCAACAGCTGAGGGAGAGAGACATTATTGTGTGCAACAGCTGAGGGAGAGACATTATTGTGTGTGCAACAGCTGAGGGAGAGAGAGACATTATTGTGTGCAACAGCTGAGGGAGAGACATTATTGTGTGTGCAACAGCTGAGGGAGAGAGAGACATTATTGTGTGCAACAGCTGAGGGAGAGAGACATTATTGTGTGCAACAGCTGAGGGAGAGAGAGACATTATTGTGTGTGCAACAGCTGAGGGAGAGACATTATTGTGTGCAACAGCTGAGGGAGAGAGACATTATTGTGTGCAACAGCTGAGGGAGAGACATTATTGTGTGTGCAACAGCTGAGGGAGAGAGAGACATTATTGTGTGCAACAGCTGAGGGAGAGAGACATTATTGTGTGCAACAGCTGAGGGAGAGAGAGACATTATTGTGTGCAACAGCTGAGGGAGAGAGAGACATTATTGTGTGCAACAGCTGAGGAAGAGAGAGACATTATTGTGTGCAACAGCTGAGGGAGAGAGAGACATTATTGTGTGCAACAGCTGAGGGAGAGAGAGACATTATTGTGTGTGCAACAGCTGAGGGAGAGAGAGACATTATTGTGTGCAACAGCTGAGGGAGAGAGACATTATTGTGTGCAACAGCTGAGGGAGAGAGAGACATTATTGTGTGCAACAGCTGAGGGAGAGAGAGACATAATTGTGTGCAACAGCTGAGGGAGAGAGAGACATTATTGTGTGCAACAGCTAAGGAAGAGAGAGACATTATTGTGTGCAACAGCTGAGGGAGAGAGAGACATTATTGTGTGTGCAACAGCTGAGGGAGAGAGAGACATTATTGTGTGCAACAGCTGAGGGAGAGAGAGACATTATTGTGTGTGCAACAGCTGAGGGAGAGAGAGACATTATTGTGTGCAACAGCTGAGGGAGAGAGACATTATTGTGTGCAACAGCTGAGGGAGAGAGAGACATTATTGTGTGCAACAACTGAGGGAGAGACATTATTGTGTGCAACAGCTGAGGGAGAGAGACATTATTGTGTGCAACAGCTGAGGGAGAGAGACATTATTGTGTGCAACAGCTGAGGGAGAGACATTATTGTGTGCAACAGCTGAGGGAGAGAGACATTATTGTGTGCAACAGCCGAGGGAGAGAGAGACATTATTGTGTGCAACAGCTGAGGGAGAGAGAGACATTATTGTGTGCAACAGCTGAGGGAGAGAGAGACATTATTGTGTGCAACAGCTAAGGAAGAGAGAGACATTATTGTGTGCAACAGCTGAGGGAGAGAGACATTATTGTGTGTGCAACAGCTGAGGGAGAGAGAGACATTATTGTGTGCAACAGCTGAGGGAGAGAGAGACATTATTGTGTGTGCAACAGCTGAGGGAGAGAGAGACATTATTGTGTGCAACAGCTGAGGGAGAGAGACATTATTGTGTGCAACAGCTGAGGGAGAGAGAGACATTATTGTGTGCAACAACTGAGGGAGAGACATTATTGTGTGCAACAGCTGAGGGAGAGAGACATTATTGTGTGCAACAGCTGAGGGAGAGAGACATTATTGTGTGCAACAGCTGAGGGAGAGACATTATTGTGTGCAACAGCTGAGGGAGAGACATTATTGTGTGCAACAGCTGAGGGAGAGACATTATTGTGTGTGCAACAGCTGAGGGAGAGACATTATTGTGTGCAACAGCTGAGGGAGAGACATTATTGTGTGTGCAACAGCTGAGGGAGAGACATTATTGTGTGCAACAGCTGAGGGAGAGAGAGACATTATTGTGTGTGCAACAGCTGAGGGAGAGAGACATTATTGTGTGCAACAGCTGAGGGAGAGACATTATTGTGTGTGCAACAGCTGAGGGAGAGACATTATTGTGTGCAACAGCTGAGGGAGAGAGAGACATTATTGTGTGTGCAACAGCTGAGGGAGAGAGACATTATTGTGTGTGCAACAGCTGAGGGAGAGAGACATTATTGTGTGTGCAACAGCTGAGGGAGAGAGACATTATAATGTGCAACAGCTGAGGGAGAGAGACATTATTGTGTGTGCAACAGCTGAGGGAGAGAGAGACATTATTGTGTGTGCAACAGCTGAGGGAGAGAGAGACATTATTGTGTGTGCAACAGCTGAGGGAGAGAGACATTATTGTGTGCAACAGCTGAGGGAGAGAGACATTATTGTGTGTGCAACAGCTGAGGGAGAGAGACATTATTGTGTGCAACAGCTGAGGGAGAGAGACATTATTGTGTGTGCAACAGCTGAGGGAGAGAGACATTATAATGTGCAACAGATCCAGGAGCCAAACAGACTGGAGGTGCCTCGTATGCACCAATAGATTGTCTATAGTTTTCCCATATTCTTATTTCCTTCCTGAAGGCGGAATGGGAACAGTTCTAAGCGTCAGAATAAATTGATTACATATCCTCCTCAAGACATAATTAAGACATGTATAGTACGACATAGCAAAAGATATGAGTCGTTAAACAAGTGCCAGAACGTGACAGTTTTGCACTGAACCACTTTAGCTTTTAGGCACAATGGGATCACAAGAACGCGATGCTTGGGGTGGGGGGGGGGTCCAGGGACGGGCGTTCGATCCCATTTAATAGCCTCAATATTTTCTCTCAGTATTCGGAGTTATGTAATTGTTAAATTCTGCAAATAAAATAGCTACTGAATACTGGATCGTCTTTGAATAGGTCATAATATTGTATATTTAGGAATAAATTTGGTAGACACATAATTTCAATTCTGGATTTCCCCCACAAGAAATATGTATATATATTCATCTAAGATTATTATTATATGCGTCAAAAGTGTTCTTTGCACTAACCTTCGTCTGTAGAGCAGACTGGTGAAGCCTGCCACAGGAACCCCACCAGAAGGGAACTGATATATACCCCAACTATCATGGTGCGAGCTAACTTGCTGATTACTTGCTCATCACAAACTCAATTATCGTCTAGGATTCAACACTTCCTAATTTACCGTATCAAAACTTTATATCAAATATATATGTATGTTTTGTTTTCGCCCTTGTATAAAAAAATACTATTTAAAATTCAAAACCAGAGTCAGTTACATAATGTCAAACACTTGAGTTTCTTTTAAAATAGAAAATAAATATGTTCTCAATTTTATTGTAAAACACTAACCGCATTTCACGTAAGAAATGCTGGAACACAAGCGTCTGTTGAGCGCTAATAGAGAAATTTAGTAGCAGCATGGAAACTTCATTCTGTTTAGTGGTTGTCTACGGCAACGAGAGTCGGCTCGCTCTACTGCCCTGGTGACAGAGGTCCTCCCTCGACGCCCGCAGGACCGACACTAAGCTTACCTACCAGACGCTCGGTCACCCACACATGCTCCAGCTGGCTCCACACGCAGGCGCCGACGGTGGTGTTTCCAGCCGGCCCCACCCTGCGTTACTACCGGATTAGTCCAGGTAATTAATAATCACTCATCGCGTTCTTTAGGTAGTTAATGACTACTCACAACGTTGTCCAGGTTGTTATCATTCACCGCGTTGCCTATGTCCTTACTGAATACTCAAAACCGCGTTGCTTAGGTAGTTTATGTTCGCTTTCCTATCAGCATTACCATCTGTTTCCTATCCGAGAGGTATTCGCACATGCTATTTATTTTCAGTTAAAAATATACCTGTTTTTCAGTTGAAAATACTTTTATCATATATTTTACTGCCAGTTATAACCACGAATACTGGCTGTCGGCCTTTCCTCTAATATATTTATATAATGTTATAATAACATATTTTCTGCATATTTACATATTATTTGCAGGGGCTTTAGAAAATGAAGAACCTTGTTTTGAGCTACTGATATCATATATACAAACTCTATTGCAGTCTCCACTTTACCAAATCTGAGATTACTTACATAGATCGATCCAACAGAGTGCTGCCGCACCACGTACTGTATTTTGAAATTTATAATTTGTTAAATATAGATTATAAATCAATATAAGCAAACGCTAACCTTGATAATACAATTATAGGACGAATATTCCAGCTGCTCCAAACGTATAAAATGATCTACAATCAAACGATCTATAGATAAAACACCTCAACTGAAAAAGAAATTGAGAATAATCTCAATAAATTCGAGAACGAACAGGCTTGAGAAAAGCGTTTCTCTAAATCAGCGACTTACATTGTGAGACGAGAAGGGGCCACCATTAAGTGAACAGCCTCGTTCGCTCCCCAATGGCCTGCCGCTAGCCCCCTGTTCCTTTGTGTTCCTCTCAATGGTAGTTCCAGAAACTTTTTGCCACCTCAGATAGTCTCTGTTCCTGAGGAGGGTTTTATTGAAGAGTTGGTTTCTTGGTAAGGAAGACAAGCAGCAGAATTGGTGGATGAAATGATCTCATAGTTTGCTGGAACCCGCAGTGTGGTATAAAGTTGTTTGGGAATACTTAGCAAGTGTATTTAAATTATAGATTCTTATTTAGATGTGTTGAATGCAAAATATTACTATTAGGTGTATGGAATGTAAGGAATGCTTATTAAAGGTACAGACTGCAAGAATAGTCGTTAAATATATATTGATTGTCTCCAAACTCACGACCTGCCAGTGAGGGCTTTGTATAGGAAGTGTGAGGGAATAATCTACCAGGTGTGAGTGAGAATAATCTCCCAGGGTGAGTGAGAATAATCTACCAGGGTGAGTGAGAATAATCTACCAGGGTGAGTGAGAATAATCTACCAAAGTGAGTGAGAATAATCTACCAGGGTGAGTGAGAATAATCTACCAGGGTGAGTGAGAATAATCTACCAGGGTGAGAATAATCTACCAGGGTGAGTGAGAATAATCTACCAGGGTGAGTGAGAATAATCTACCAGGTGTGAGTGAGAATAATCCACCAGGGTGAGTGAGAATAATCTACCAGGGTGAGAATAATCTACCAGGGTGAGTGAGAATAATCTACCAGGGTGAGTGAGAATAATCTACCAGGGTGAGTGAGAATAATCTACCAGGGTGAGTGAGAATAATCTACCAGGGTGAGTGAGAATAATCTACCAGGGTGAGTGAGAATAATCTACCAGGTGTGAGTGAGAATAATCCACCAGGGTGAGTGAGAATAATCTACCAGGGTGAGTGAGAATAATCTACCAGGGTGAGTGAGAATAATCTACCAGGGGTGAGTGACAATAATCTACCAGGGTGAGTGAGAATAATCTACCAGGGTGAGTGAGAATAATCTACCAGGTGTGAGTGAGAATAATCTACCAGGGGTGAGTGACAATAATCTACCAGGGTGAGTGAGAATAATCTACCGGAGTGAGAATAATCTACCAGGGTGAGTGAGAATAATCTACCAGGGTGAGTGAGAATAATCTACCAGGGTGAGTGAGAATAATCTACCAAAGTGAGTGAGAATAATCTACCAGGGTGAGTGAGAATAATCTACCAATGAGAGAATAATCTACGAGTGAATGAGAATAATCTACCAGGGTGAGTGAGAATTATCTACCAGGGTGAGTGAGAATTATCTTCCAATGAGAGAATAATCTACCAGGGTGAGTGAGAATTATCTACCAGGGTGAGTGAGTGAGAGAATAATCTACCAGGGTGAGTGAGAATAATCTATCAGGGTGAGTGAGAATAATCTACCAGGGTGAGTGAGAATTATCTACCAGGGTGAGTGAGAATAATCGACCAGGGGTGAGTGAGAATAATCTACCAGGGTGAGTGAGAATAATCGACCAGGGGTGAGTGAGAATAATCGACCAGGGGTGAGTGAGAATAATCGACCAGGGGTGAGTGAGAATAATCGACCAGGGGTGAGTGAGAATAATCGACCAGGGGTGAGTGAGAATAATCGACCAGGGGTGAGTGAGAATAATCGACCAGGGGTGAGTGAGAATAATCGACCAAGGTGAGTGAGAATTATCTACCAGGGTGAGTGAGAATAATCGACCAGGGGTGAGTGAGAATAATCGACCAAGGTGAGTGAGAATTATCTACCAGGGTGAGTGAGAATAATCGACCAGGGGTGAGTGAGAATAATCGACCAGGGGTGAGTGAGAATAATCGACCAGGGGTGAGTGAATATAATCGACCAGGGGTGAGTGAGAATAATCGACCAGGGGTGAGTGAGAATAATCGACCAGGGGTGAGTGAGAATAATCGACCAAGGTGAGTGAGAATTATCTACCAGGGTGAGTGAGAATAATCGACCAGGGGTGAGTGAGAATAATCGACCATCGACCAAGGTGAGTGAGAATTATCTACCAGGGTGAGTGAGAATAATCGACCAGGGGTGAGTGAGAATAATCGACCAAGGTGAGTGAGAATAATGTACCAGGGTGAGTGAGAATAATCGACCAGGGGTGAGTGAGAATAATCGACCAGGGGTGAGTGAGAATAATCTACCAGGGTGAGTGAGAATAATCGACCAGGGGTGAGTGAGAATAATCGACCAGGGGTGAGTGAGAATAATCGACCAGGGGTGAGTGAGAATAATCGACCAGGGGTGAGTGAGAATAATCGACCAGGGGTGAGTGAGAATAATCTACCAGGGTGAGAGAGAGAGTAAAGATCTGGGAGTTGACAACACTGCCGGTGAGGCACGCATCAATACTATCACAAAAGCAGCGTTGCTAAGCTGGCCAACGTCAGCATTGGCCTCACTACCCTAAACAAGGAAGCGCTCAATACGCTTTATGTAGCGTATTGGGGAAGCGCTCAATACGCTTTATGTAGCGTACTGAACAAGGAAGCGCTCAATACGCTTTATGTAGCGTATTGGGGAAGCGCTCAATACGCTTTATGTAGCGTACTGAACAAGGAAGCGCTCAATACGCTTTATGTAGCGTACTGAACAAGGAAGCGCTCAATACGCTTTATGTAGCGTACTGAACAAGGAAGAGCTCAATACGCTTTATGTAGCGTATTGAACAAGGAAGCGCTCAATACGCTTTATGTAGCGTATTGAACAAGGAAGCGCTCAATACGCTTTATGTAGCGTATTGAACAAGGAAGCGCTCAATACGCTTTATGTAGCGTACTGAGGAAGAGCTCAATACGCTTTATGTAGCATATTGAACAAGGAAGCGCTCAATATGCTTTATGTAGCGTACTGAGGAAGCGCTCAATACGCTTTATGTAGCGTACTGAGGAAGCGCTCAATACGCTTTATGTAGCGTACTGAGGAAGCGCTCAATACGCTTTATGTAGCGTACTGAACAAGGAAGAGCTCAATACGCTTTATGTAGCGTACTGAACAAGGAAGAGCTCAATACGCTTTATGTAGCGTACTGAACAAGGAAGAGCTCAATACGCTTTATGTAGCGTACTGAACAAGGAAGAGCTCAATACACTTTATGTAGCGTACTGAACAAGGAAGCGCTCAATACGCTTTATGTAGCGTATTGAACACGGAAGCGCTCAATACGCTTTATGTAGCGTATTGAACAAGGAAGCGCTCAATACGCTTTATGTAGCGTATTGAACAAGGAAGCGCTCAATACGCTTTATGTAGCGTATTGAACAAGGAAGCGCTCAATACGCTTTATGTAGCGTATTGAACAAGGAAGCGCTCAATACGCTTTATGTAGCGTATTGAACAAGGAAGCGCTCAATACGCTTTATGTAGCGTATTGAACAAGGAAGCGCTCAATACGCTTTATGTAGCGTACTGAACAAGGAAGCGCTCAATACGCTTTATGTAGCGTATTGAACAAGGAAGCGCTCAATACGCTTTATGTAGCGTACTGAACAAGGAAGCGTTCGACCAGAGCTAGAGTGAGTGTGTGTGTGTATGTGTGTGTGTGTGTGTGTGTGTGTGTGTGTGTGTGTGTGTGTGTGTGTGTGTGTGTGTGTGTGTGTGTGTGTGTGTGTGTGTGTGTGTGTGTGTCCGCGCGTGTTACTGTCATTAAGCACTTCTTATACACTTAACATTTTAACCACACTATTTCATTTACTAATTTTCAAGATTTACATCCAAATCCTCCTGCCAAGATTAGCCAAAATCATTCCCTATTTTGATACATGTTGTAGCATGGTTCACACAACCGTGGATCACAATACCATGGTTCACAATACCATGGTTCACAATACCATGGTTCGCAATACCATGGTTCGCACAAGCCTAGCCAGGGGAGGAAGCTGGAACACAAACCCGAACATCGGTCGCTTTCAACCGGATTCTCTCAAGGACAAAAAAGTTTGGCGCTGGGCAAAGTGGCATTGAAAGCCTCTTTGTATAAGAGGTTTGTGGAGAGTTTAGCATGTTCAACTTTATCAAGCGATCTGGAGGCCACGAGAGTACAAACGCGAGTTGATGTGCTGAGTTGTGATCAC